CCTGTCCACCCCACAGATCTTGGGCCCCAGGCATGAGTGGTGCTAATCTGTCCTCATCTGTGGGCACAACTTCCAAAGGGGAGCCGTTGCGGGGCTCTCGGGGATCCAGGGCAGGGGCTGACTGAAGGGCCTTGTGGAGGAAATATAATGAGGAGCCAGTGTGGAGCCTTCTCTCTCCCTGCTCAGTATAGCCACGAGCCTGCTTCTTGTAAGTGGAAGCAGATTACCAGAGTAAGGGCAAGATCATAAACTTGTTCAGAGGTTCCCAGATAAAAAGGGTGGTTTTAACTTTCCCCTTTCAGTAAACCAAATTGTAGGGAGGCCTCTAGACTATCCCATGGCTGTGGGAGGGCTGCTGGGGGGGCTGGGGCTTGGGAGGCCTCTAGATTAGCCCTGGAGCACGGAGGGGGAGGGCTGAGAGGGGACAGGTTATGCCCACCCGCTGGGGGGTTGAGGAGCCTTGCTGTGCCCGGACCCCTGCTCTGACGGTACAGGGGGATCACAGGCCAATTCTGGGATGTTGGAATAGGCTGGAGGCACCAGCCTGAGTGTCATCGGGGGGCCCTGCTGGACTCTCTTGAGGGAGGCAGGGAGACAGGACTCGCAAATGTTTGCCCTGGCCAGCAGGTGCTGTTCTGCAGGCTCAGGTTTGGTGTTGGTCCTGGAACTTTTCTTCCATGAGACAGGTGCTGTCTGTCTGCCTTAGCACCTGTCTGGTTGCCATGGACTCCACAGCTGAGGAGGCATGGGGTAGAGCATGACCGAGACCCCAGTCTAAGCGAGGGAAGGAGACAGATGTGGCCAGAGGAACGTGGAGCCTAAGGTGACAAACGCTTTCCCCAGACCCGAAGTGGCACAGGCTCGTGCAGCTCACTAAGAGCCCCGTCTGTGTGGTGGCAGCTGTCTGTCTGCCCTGCCTGCCCTTCCTCCTGGACGGAAGTCAGAACATGTGCATGGACTTCAGAACTGACACAGTGCCCCAGAGGGCTGGCTATGGACATGAGCCCGTGACGCTGGACTAAATGCAGAAGGGCAGTGTGGAGGGCAGCCTTGCCCCCTTTCTGCGAGAGCTGAGCCCTCTAAGGATGCCCAGGGTGTGGGTGTGGATCAGAGGACCCCTGGGGCAGGTGCGAGGCAGCAGGAAGTGGAGTCAGGCATCTGAGCAGCATGGCGTGCTGGGATGGGTTACAGTAGGATGGGTCCAGGCCGCTTAGGCGTGGGGCTCTGTGTCCCAAGTCACCAACCTGGGTTTCTGTTGCCACAGGAGCTAGTCTGGGGCTCTGGTGAGGAGAGTGGAACAGGAGCGTCCCAGTGCGGTTCATGAGGGCCCAAGCACGCCCCACCCCTGCGCCTCACGTAGGTTGGGAGCACTGTCCCCTGGGAGGGGCTGGGTGCTGGGGACGTGGATAGCCACAGGAGCAGCAATGGCAGTGCCCTGGGGGCTCTGCTGTCACCTCCCCCTGCTGGCCTGTGCACCTGGCTGGAAGCCCACTGCTTTCCAAGTTCCTGCTCCTCTGCAGTTCAGAGCCTCCGGGCACCCTCCCCCCGCTTGGGCTGCCCTGTCCTGGGTTCCAGGGAGTAGGCAGGTCCCAGATGCTCTCTACAGGCAGGGCACTTCCCATGGCAGTGAGTGCAGCCCCCATGTAAGGCCACAGTCCACCCCAGGGCCACGGCCAGACACACCACTGTCTGTCACCTGGGCCCCAAGGAGCTGCTGGGTGGGACAGCTGGGACCCCTGACCCAACAGCAGGGTGACTCCAGCTTCCCATGTGGGGCAAGGCCTTGGTATGTCCTCTGGCCTTGGAGTCGCAGCTGCTGCAGCCAGGAGGGTACTGAGCCGGCCGAATGAGGTGGGGGTGTGGCTGAAGCCCTCTGCTGTGAACTGGGTGGGCCCTGCCCACATGTTGGCTTGGAAATCCTGGCTTCATGGCAGGGGGCACAGTGGCAAGAGAGTCAAGGTATGTATGAATTTGCTGGTGAGGACACAGGAACTAGGGAAGAGTCAGGCAGCCCTCGGAGGCCTGGTTTGGAGGCAGGATCCTGCCTCACACTGCCCCTCCTTCTGCCTGGGAGCAGTGGCAGCGGTAGGCCTGGGTCCCTTTAGCCTCTTGGCTTCCTTGCTGGCTCCACTCGGTGCGGGGGTCCTGTGTGGGGCCAAGTCTGGGCAGGGGACTGAGGATACAAAGCACGTGGCTTCCGGCTCCTACAGCAGGAAGGTGCTGGCTCACCAGAGCCCCTGGGGACGGTATGGGGTGGCCAGGGGCGGGGGACAGGGCCTCTGCGTTCCTGGGGATGTGCAACTGCTCTGGGCTGTTCTCCTGGAACACCACTCCTGCTCCTTCCTTTAGCCAGCACCTGGTGGCTCTGGCAGCTCCCTCCCTGGTCCTTGCACCCTTGCAGACTCAGGAGAACATCCAGGGGCCTGAGCCCATGTCCTCTCGCTAGGCCAGTGCCAGGGCAAGCCCTGGACAGCTGAGTGCTGGAGTGGCCTCCCCACGCCTGGCCTGGCCTGAGCCTCACTGCCCGGCCAGCCCTGGCCACCTTGCCTGGGCTGGGGACCAGCAATTAAAGGCCCCTCATCCCCAATTCGTTTGTGGTATTAAAAACGAATTGCGATCAGCTGGGTTGTCATTTCTACCTGATAAAACATCACTTTTATTGATCTTGCTCACCCAGTGCCATCATTTATCTTGCTCCAGCATTTCACATAATGGCTCGTTTGTCTTGGTCAAAGTGTAGTCTTGCATGTTTAAGCCCCGGGGCGACCTGGCTGTGTCCTTCCCTCCACACCCTGCCCTTGGCCCCCAACCTGTTCCTTGGGGCAGCAAGGAAGGGCTGGGCCCACCTTGTCTGGGGTAAGGATGCCCCTGGGGAGCAGGGGTCAAGGTGCGCTGGGCTGTGTTCTGCTCCCTGCACAACTCCTCAGGGAAGCTAGACCTCCATGGGGGCTAACCTAAGCCTGCTATGCCCTAGGGGCCTGTCCCTGGGGATGTCTGTCCCGGGGCTACAACCTGGGCCAGTTGGTGACACTTCAGTCAGCACCCCAGCCCCGTTTCCAGGTCTCAGTGCGGCGCTCCTATACCCTATCCCAGCCCTTCTCTTGGGGCCAGAGCCTGGGTCAGCCTGGCCCTTCCATTCCTGACCCTCGGGCCATGGAGAGAGTGGCCCTGACCGTGGACAGTTTCAGCCTGAGTTCCCTTGCTCAGCGGAGGGCGCTGGTCCCCTCCTGTTCTGAGGGAGGCACAGTCACCGGGCCTCTGCCACATTCTAGCTCACCTCTTGGCCACCAGCGAGGTCCTTGTCCATCCTCTGCTTGCCCTGGGTTCCTGCAAGACTCAGCTCGGGCAGCACCTCCTCCAGGAAGCCTGCTAGGACCACCCCAGGGACAGTCAGTTTTGTCTGCTTTGCTGTCTCTGGTAGCTCGGGAGGCCCAATGCTGGTGTCCAGGCCTGTCGTCCACCTTCCTGTGCCTTGTCATTCCCACCCTGGCCCCACTGCTCTCCTGCAGAGCTCCTGCCTCGCCGCTGACCTCCTTGGGTGATCTAGCTGGGCAGGAGGAGGGGGCTATGTTAAATTCCTTGCTCAGGACCCCAGGATCTCAGGTAGTGACCAGACCTCCTTCCTACCCTGGCTCTGTCCCAGGCTGGATTCCACACAGCAAGTGCCAGAGCTACCAAAGCTGGGTTTCCCAAGACCACAGGCGTCTGGCCCTACCCTACCCCTCTCTCCTCTGCCCCAGGGGCCTCGAGGTCAGAAGCCCCGGCCACAGGCACCCTGTATTGCCCTGCAGCTGTGGGCCTGGGCATGGCTCCCCAAGTTGCCAGCTCTGGGCGCCAGTGGGGCGGACCCGAGTCACTGCACCAGGAGGGGCCGCCAGGCCATGGCCTCAGGGTCTGAGGGCAGTGTCTGTACCGTTTGGGTCAGGAACCCCTGGAAGTGATCCCGATCCCCACTGGGCAGGCCCTGCAGTGCTGAGGAAGTTTGTGGAGACTAGTGTCCCCAGGCCGCACGTCACAGGTCCTGGCTGGGCCAGCGGCACTCGGGCCTTCTGCCTCCTGGGGTGGGGTTGGACCGGTCTGTCCCTTGGAGGAACACGGGGGTGGGGAGTTGCACCAGTGTGCACATGTGTGCATACGGTCCTGCAACCCCTTACACACAGGGGCAGGCTAGAGATGAGAGCAAGGAGCATCCCCTCGCTGGTGAGGGTCTTCCTGGTCTGCAGCACATGGGTGGGCTCTGTCCAGGTAGGAGGTGCACTGTACCCCCATTCCTGACACATACTCTGACCTCAGGCCGCCTCTCAGGGCTATGCAATCTTCCATCTAACAATCAGGACTGTCGTTTATTTATTGTCTCCTGCACAGTTGTCAGCAGAGAAAATGTTTGTTGAATGAATCAATTCCTACCCTTCCCGGGAGGGCATCTGCTGTTCGGAGCATTCATTTCTGGCATGCATAGTGCTCAGAGTGGGCCTTGGAGGCCATCCTTCCCCTTCAGTTATGCTTTTTTTTTTTTTTTTTGAGGCACTGGGGATTGAACCCATGCCCTTCACACTGTTAGGTCTCCAGCCTCTTCATTTATTTTGAGACAGGGTCTTGCTAAGTTGCCAAGTTGCCCAGATGGACTTGAACCTATGATCCTCCTGCCTCAGCCTCCTAGAGTTCTGGGATCATGGGTGTCTGGTACCATGCCCAGCTGCCTCTGTGCGCTTCGATCCCACCTTGCCCCCCTTCTGAAAGAACCTCTTCTGGCCATGTGGATGGGTTCAGACTGGACTGGACTGGTGACAGACCTGCCACAGGGGAGAGCTTCTGGGCTCAAGAGGACCCCACTCTGGGAGTCTCCAAAGCGGAGGCCAGCCCTCTCCCTTTCCAGTCTGCCACCAGGGGCAGGAGGGGAGGCCCAGGCCAGGCCCAGGAGCTGTGCCCCAGCTCTCAGGGAGTCACGGCGGACCCGGCACACAGGACGCCAGGCAGAGGCACCATCCGGACCACCGAAAACCTGTACAATAGTCCATATATTTATTCTTAAGCAAGTTATCAATAAAAAATTTAATACTAAAATGCCTTTACATAGAGTTTGCTGTTCATAAAACCTTTGTGTTTTTAGTGTTTACATTGAAAAAAAATCCAACCATCCTCTTAGTTTACACATGTACAAGAATCGTGCTTCCGCCACGTTTAACCACGGAGAAGGGGGGGTCACACTGCCCGCACGCACACAGACAGGGAGGGAAAAGAGAAAAGAAAAATACAAACGAAGGGGAAAGCCTGGCTGAAGGCAAAGAGGTGGCCAGGAAAGCAGCCTCTGTCCCTGCACTCAGGCCAGACCAGCGCAGATCCCAGGCTGGCAGCTGGGCCTTTGCCTCCACGTGACGACTTTCTGGTTCCTCAGCTGTGAGGGGCACCGAGGGCCATCTCCCCAGGCACCACCAGGAATGAAATATTGCACTCGAGCGGGACACAGGGCAGACTTGGGGTGGGTGTAGGGTCCCCCTCCCCACCCTTGGGTTCCAGTGGAGCCGCCAGGAGTGGCGCTTTGGGGAAAACAAGGCCCCAGGGTGGGGTGCTCCTGACTGGCCAGAGCAGGGAATAGAGGCCGGGGCTCCAGTGGGTGCCTGCACACCTCTCGCCTCCCGGGGGCTTCCCTGCAGCTCCCGCAGGGCAGAGGCCTTGTGGGGTGGGTGGGGTCTCCAGGTGGTGGGACTGGCCTGCTCTCTGTGGGGGACGGGAGGGTGCCGGCCTCTCCTGGGCTCTTGGGGACAGGGCTGGCAAGTGGCTGCAGAGAAGGCCCAGAAAGCACCAGGGGGTGGGCAGGGGGGTCTGAGGGTGCCAGCCCCCTCCCAGGGCCAGCGTGGTCATCAGTGAGAGCGAGGCAGGGGAAGGGGTCAGGCGGGAAAGGGTGTCTTTCACAGCCACTGCCCGCCCTGTGGTGTGGAAGGAGTGGGGGACTGCGGTCCAGCCCCAGCCCAGAAGGCCTGGTCCAGCCACCCCACCACTGCAGCCCTGCTGCTCCCTGGAAAGGGAAGGGGGTGAAGGGCAATCCGGCGGGGCCACAGGGCACGGGGCACAGGGGCTGGGGCCCAATTGCTCTGCTTGGGGAAAACTGGCCAAGGAAACAGAAATCAGAAATAATTGGAATACTTAGGAAATAAATCCAAAACATCACTTTTTCTTATTGATAAATAAAATATTTGTTCGTTTTTGTCTTAAGTAGAGGTAAGATACACATGGCTGCAGTCCTTCCCAGAGTGGGGGACAGGCTGATCCTGGTTTTTTTCTTGTTGTCAGAATCCCTTCTCCCGGATCACCATCCCCGAGCCCAACACAGGATGTACTGAAGCAAAGGCGAGCGTGCCTTTCGCTTTACAGTCAGGCCCCAGAGGCTGCCGGGCAGCAAGGGTCCCTCCAGCCATCCTATGGCCTAGGCCCCCTAAGCCCCGGGGGACTCAGCTAGGCTGAGGAGAACAGTGCATTTCCAAAGGTAATTCCAGAACAAAACCGCCGTGCGCACGCAAACACACACACACACACACACACACACACGCACACCCATGTCACGCGGGTGGGGAAAAAGCCTTTCCACTTTTTTTCCATAAAACTTCCCCATGGAAATACAATATTTACATAGAGAAATAAATAGACAACACACCTGATTTCTGCTTTCCCTGGTGGGAGACAGTCGGAGGTACTAGGGGTATATGGCTTGGGTTCTAATCTCTTGAGAACTGTGACGTGGGAAAACAGAGCAGCAGGGCCTCGAGGGCCGGCCTGACCCTCCATGGCAGACAGGATGGGACCCGAGTCCACGCCAAGGGTGCTCTTTCCAGGGACAGTCGTGGAAAAGCCTGGTGTCGCCTCAGTGGGGTTGCATATTTTTTCAGACTTACCCCTGGCTCAGCCTGACCTCCACATGCGGGCCTGGGGAGGGCGGGAGGCCTCAGTGGGCTCAGCACAGCACAGGCACACCTTCGGCCGTCACCAGGCGCCCAGTGGTGGGGTCGTAGGTGCCTGCCAGGTAGTAGAGGTCCTGCCGGTCCTGGTGCTTGCGGCCCCGGGTCATCTGCTCATACTGCTCGCGGCCCACCACCTGGCACTTGTGGGAGATGGTCTGCACGTCGTTCTCGTCCTCGTGGCAGGACTGGTACAGCGCGTTCTGCAGGGCAGGAGTCAGGGAGGGCCTTGGTCTGTGCCCCCAACACCCAGGAAGACTGAGTGCTCAGAAGGGGGCACCTCAGCGCGGCTCTGATGAAGACCCAGGAGTCTGTGCGGGGGAACCCTCAGAAAGTAGAGCTGGAAACTCCTTTCTTTGGAGGAAACTTGGCTCTCCTCTGGGAAGGGCAGGGTGGGGGCATTTTCTATCTCGGGGAGCAGAGAGCCCACCTTGGGGGGCTGCTCTGAATCCTAGGTGTGAACGAGACCTGCTTAGAGCCAAGGCTGCTCAGTAACAGATCCCCAGGGGATGTGATTGCTTTAGATCTTGCTGGGAGCCTCAGAAGCACAGCTGGGGTGTGCGGGTGACAGCCCCCGCGCCAAGCCTGAAGCCTACTGCAGCCGGGCCTCTGTACTGGCCGGCCAGGTGGGGAGGGCAGGGCTCCAGCTGACCACTCCCCTTGGCATGGTGGGTGGCAATGGCTGTGGGTGCCGGCCTCCGAAGGGCCCGACGGAGGGGCTGGACCCTGCTGAACCTGCCCTGCCCTCACCTTCCCATCACTCTGCCGCTTCCCCAGCTTGGTCTCCTCAGGGTGGTAGAACCACTTGACCTTCACTACCATGTTGCTGCCCCAGGACTCCCACATGCTCTCGATGCGGCCGATGTAGGGAAGGTTGGGCCGCCCAGCCGACAGGAACACTGCACAGTCCCCGACGCGCAGTGTCTCCTTGCCCCGGACAATGGCCTTGTAGAACAGCTTCCTGGCCTTGCCCTTCATGCCCCGCCTCTGCAGGGGAGACATGGGGAGAGCGGCTGAGGGCCAGGGGTGTGTGGGGTGTATGAGTGTGTGTGTGCAGAGGGCACTGCAAGGGTGGGGAGCAGCCACACAGCCACTGGAGGAAGCCACCCAAACACCACCCAAGACAAGGCAGGCCATGCCCGGATTTGTCCCCCACACCGGGGCAGGACAGAAGGACTACAGTGGACTCAAAAGGCACCGTGGCTCTGGGGGCAGAGACACGTACAGAGCTGTCCACCACAGTGCCTTTCACCAGGGTAAAAATCCCATCTACCCAAGTCTACCCAGGGAACATAGCAGACCTCAAGGCGGCATCTGTGGGTCTGCCAGGGAGCCTCTGGCAGCCCACCTACCTGTGTGGGGTTCCCGGACCACTTCCACAGCTGCCGGGCAGGCAGGAAGGCCGAGATCTTTGGCCGGTTCTCCACGGAGGGCAGCCGCTGCCTCCGGGAAAGCTCTTTGGCTTTGGAGAAGCTCAGGGCCTCCTTGCGCTTGAGCTTGGACTTGCCAACACTTGGGCCGGCGCCCGCACTGGCCACTGCGGCCCTGGACAGGAAGCAGCGCTGGGCATGGGCATGGGGGCTGCCGCCCTTGGAGCGCAAGGTCTCGGGCTGGGCCAGGAGGGCAGGCACGGGGTGGGTGAGACAGGTCTGCAGCAGCAGGGCCGGGTCCTCATCGTCTGAGCTGTCAGAGGAGTCCTCGTTGTCTGAGGAGCAGAGGCTGGAGGTGGACACAGAGCCCGAGGAGGAGGAAGTGGACGAGCCCGAGGAGGAGGAGGACATGGAGAGCCGGGTGAGGAAGCGGGAGGGCACGCCGGCAGCCAGCTCCGGCCCATCCTCGTCCTCCTCTGAGTAGGAGCTGGGGCAGTCACTATCACAGGCCAGGGGGTACTCGGCCTGGCCTGCGTACTTGCGCAGCGCCAGCCCCATGGGCAGCGGGTGGACGGGCGGCCGCCCTTTCTTGTCCTTGCCCACGAGGGCTGGATGTGCGTAACTGGGGCTAGGCAAGGGCCGCCCCAGCTTGGGGCCGAAGTCCTTGTCGCCCACAAGCAGTGCCTTGCAGCTCTTGTTCTTGGGGGAGGTCACTCCCTCGTGGTCCAGTTTGACTAGAAACTCGCTGCCCACCCGGCGTCGCCCGGCCTTCTCAGCCTCCGCTCGCTCAGCCTTCTTGGCCCGTAGAAGCTTGTGGCTGCCCCCAGGCAGGCCTGACCCAGTCCCACCAACAAAGGGTGCATAGGACCTGGCCAGGCTGCTGAAGGAGTCGGCCCGGAAACCGTTGCCGAACACAGGTGCGGCCATGCTGTGCACAGGGAACAGGGCCTCGCGGGCCCGCAGCTTCTTGGTGCTGCCGTTGAGCTGGAAGAGGTTCTGCAGCACCCCTGGGCCTTTGGCGCTCATGGCCGCTGCAGCCACTGCCTTCCGCTTGGTCTGTGCCACTGCTGACCAGCTGAGCAGGGGGCTGCCCCGGCGGCCTAGGAAGTGGTCTGAGGCCCCCGAGGGGGATTTGGCACCTGAGGTGAGGAGGTCAGTTTTGCCTGGGGGGAAGCCGGGCAGAATCAGAGGGACTGGCTGGGCCCAGAGGCTGCCTCCGCCCACTCCGCCCAGTCCCTCACCCAGAGGGGCCCTCCCCTGCCCCAGGGTCTCCTCAGTCCTGCAAATACCAGCTTTGTCCTTGCCGACAGATTTCTTCCCGGAAGTCTTTGATGCTTCGGAACTATCCTGCGCTTTGGGGGACAGGCTGGGGGTGGGGGCTTCACTAGGTGGGGGGGCTTCGCTGGATGCTTTCTTGGTTCTCCGGCAGCTGCTGGACACCAGCAGGGCTGGAGAGGGCTCTGTACCTGCACAGCAAGAAGAGGGGCTCAGTGGAGGTCCAAGGGGTGACCTTCACCCCTCATCCCACCCTTTGGGGGCCTGTCCAGAGCCGGTGGAGGCCTCGGTGTGGGACACAGGGACCGACGGGGCAGGAGGGGGCCCCACCCGCGCTCTCCGGGGCTCACACTGGATCTTGAAGTCTGGAGGAAGCAGTCTGATGTTAGAGACGGCAATGTGGCCCGTGTCTCCATCATCGAACTCCACCAGCACGGAGTCCAGGTCTTCCTCCTCATCACCGGAGGCACCTGTGGATGGGGTGCGGCCTGAGCATGTGGCTGGCCCTGCTGGGCCTGTGCTGAGATGGGCAAGTGGGAGGACGCTGGGCGCTGAGCTGGCCTGCATCTGCTCCCTGACCCCACCTGGCCTTGGAGCTGCCCGGCAGCCCCAAGAGCAGCCCGCGCCTGTCCCACCAGAACACCAGAAGCCTTCCCAGCTGCCCCGCCACGGGGTCAGGAGTTCCGCTGGGGCAGCTGGGTGCCTGTGATGAGCTCAGTGATGCTGGCATGGCACTCTGGGTCCTTTGCCAACCTCGTCTGCCTAGCTGGACATGTGAGGCTCCCCCTTGGTCCCCATACCCGCTTGCTTGCTTTTCTGTGGCCACCGGGGAGCTGATTAGATCATCTGTCTCAGATCTGGCACACTCTAGTCTGCAGGGCTGGCGACACTGTGGGCCAAGGGTCTCCACAGCCACTCTGGGGGTCATGCTCACCTCGGACCACGTTGCCTGGGTAGAGGCAACGAGACTTCTGGCTCCAGTAGGCGCAGACTCGGGTGCCCGGTGGCAGGTACCGGCTGGACTGTGGCCGGACATCAAGAACCTGCAGGGTGCAGGGAGTGGTGGCCCATGAGTAGGTAGGGCCAGGGTCCAGGCAAACCCACCTGCAGTCCCCAGCCATGCACTCACCGCCTCCTGCAGGAGCTGCTCCAGTGAGTAGATGCGGGGCCGGTTGCCTCTCTCACCCTCGATGACAATGCTGTAACTACAGGCAGTGGGGCAGTGAGGGGCCGGTGGAGACTCAGTGCCCACCAGGCACAGCCCCCACCTTCCTGCCAGGCCGGGGCTCACATACATGTCAGGGGGCTGCAGGGTCCTGACGCTGCCGGCATACAGCAGGCTGTCCTCCTTGGGGATGAGCACGGGCAGCCCATCCTGCAGGTCTTCTTTGTGGATGGTGCAGGAGCGTGCTGTGGGGTGGAGGTGGTGGGTCACTGGAGCCCGGGCATGCACCCCACTCCCACCCTGTGCCCACGCCACCCATCTCCTGGACTGCTCACCCAGAGCAGCGCTCTGCTCAACGCTCAGCAAGCCCCTGGATGCCTCTTCCTCCTCCCCTTCTTGCTCCTCATCCTCCTCTGAGAAGCTGCTGTCGTGGTCGAAGGTGAAGTCATCCTCCACAGCAAAGCTCTCTAGCAGTTGGCTCACGGCACGACCTTGGCCCTAGGCGGGGCACAGGGGTCAGCAGGGGGCCAGGGCAAGGTGGGAGGGCTGGCCGAGGCTGGGCTCCCAGGCTGGGGGCGCTGGTACCTGCTTGCTGACGGTCTTGCTCTTCACCTTGCCCAGCTTCCTGCCCTTCCCCAGGATGGCCTTGGCGTTGCGGGCTGACAGCGTGATGGACAGAGCCCCGTTCTTCCGCTGTGCACGGAGTGGATGCAGAGGACAGAGGTGAGCGTGGCAGTGGCCAGGCTGTGACTCAGACTCAGCCCAGGCTCGGAGCACTGGCGGGAGATGGGGGGCCTTGGGAAGCCTGTCCCTGCCTGCGCCCTCCTCCCTGGGGCTCGGCCCCTGGGATGCCCATGGCCGTCTCAGTGCCCACTGCCCTGCTGGCCTCACCCGAAGTACCGGCTGCAGCATGGTGCTCTTCCGTGTGGCTCTCTTGAGGCGCTCACTGGCCAATTTGCCTTCGTCTCGGCAGGCGAAGGCCCGGGTGGGGCTGAAGAGAGGGTCCCTGCTGGCGCCAGTCCCCGGCTCTGCCCTCAGGCCGCCTTTGGCCTTGCCCTTGGCTTTCTTCTTGCCCGGTGCACCTGGGGGCCGCCGCCCCGGGGCCCGCTCTAGTTTGGCGCCCACCTTGGCCTTCACTGCCCGCCTCTTGATCTTGACCTCGCTCTCGGGGCTGGACAGGCGGCAGGCCCCTGGGGGAGGAGGCAGGCTGTTGCGAGGCCCCTGCTGCTGGCGCCCTGTGCCCCAGCCTGCCCCGTGCTCCTGGTTACCTAGCAGGCCCTGCCTCTCTTTCTTCTTTTTGGCCTTCTGGTTGGCTTCCATCTTGACCACAGAGGAGGGCGAGGGTCCCAGGACGGCCACGCCAGCCCCAGGGTGCAGCACCAGCCTGGGGTCCTTGGGGGCTGCCTCTGTCCCCAGGAGCGCCTGGCAGTCCTCGCTGTCAGAGCCACTGCCTGCACGGAGCGGAGAGGGCTGGGTTTGGCATTGACCATGGCCATTCAGGAAGGGGCTAGGGCCTATCGTCCAGGTCCACGGGGGGGACTGTAGGGGGAGCCCCCCGCCACGTCCTTGGGGCTGGTTTTGGCGGGGGCAGCTGGAGTGAGGATGGGAGTGGTCTTCTTACAGCGTCACCTCGCAGGGCTGGCTTCTCCCCAGGGCAGTTCCTTCCTCTCCTGCCACCCACTGGCCAGGAATGCCCCTGCCACCCCTCAGCAGCCTGCCTTTGTTCCTTCTCAGGCCTCTGACCCCAGGGGAAGGCCAAGGGAGGAAAAGACTGTTTTTCCAGGCTCCTGTTTCTGGACACGTCTGCTGGGGGCAGAGATAACCTCTGGTCAGCATGGCGGATGCTGCAGGAGGCGGCAGGGGCAGTTGGAGGGCTGATTGGCTATTTTTAACCCTGCTGCTCTCCAGGATGCATCCAGGGGCTTCTTTCCTCCCCACTCAGAGAACACTGAGCTGTCCTGAGGCAGGGCTTCTTCCTCGCCTGTCTGTGACAGGTGCCCCAAGCTGCCTCTAGTGGCGGCCTCCACCCTGTGTACCTATCCCCAGCCATCGGGTGACCGAGCCTGCAGGTCCTGGCTGCAGCTGCTCACACCAACTTGCCTGGCTCATGTGCCACAGTTCCCGCTGGCTGGGCTGGGAACCTGGGCATCTCCCTGACACCATCACCATCAGGCTGCGCGTGCTGGGCTGCCCCAGACACCTTGGCATTCTTGGTTCGGGACAGCTTCTTCCGGATGCGCCCACCTGGGGCGGCTTCCTTCCGAGGGAAGGGGCTGAGGGCAGTAGGCAGCCCCTTGCTCTTGACTTTCGGCTTCAGCTGAGCCACCCTGTGGGCCACCGAGGATGCCAGCTCGCCCTGGCTGCTGCTTTTCTTACACCGAATCTTCTCCTGTGAACAGGAAGGCCGCGGCTGCACTCCTCCCCCTGCCCCAGCCACAGGTCCCGGGGCTCCCCCTATCAGTTTAGGGCTCGGAAGACAGGAGCCCTGAAGCCTTGCCCTCAAAAGGCTGAGAGGACATCTGGCCTGGGGTCACCAGGCTGCCCCTGGGGCTGATGCTCATGACTGTCACCTACCCCACAATGCCCACTCTACCCACCCACACAGGTAACCTTTGGGCAAGGGGAGGCCAGGGACCAGGGCGCCATGGGTTTGGTCATTAGCTCCTGATCTGAGAGGGACAGGTCTGGCTCCTGACCCTGGAGAGAAGGGTGGGCTGCAGGCCCCTGGACAGGGGGTTCAGAGCCACGCCTAGAAGGGTCAGGGCCGCCCTCCGATTGGCAGAATGCTTGCTCCCTGGGCAGGTCCCCTTCGGATGACAGGAGGCGAGGTGGGAAAAGGTCAGTGGGGTGTACAGGCAGTGACTGGCTCCCTCACCCTAGCCCACCGAAGCCCCACCTCCACTGCCGAGATACCCAAAGCTTGCAGAGGCTGGGCTGGCTCGTCTGAGCTAGGGGCATCCCTGCCAGGTGTTAGTACCGGGCTGGGTGAACGTGTGCCACCTGCTCCCCATCCCGACATCCCCCTGGGGTGATGCAGCCGTGGCTCACCGCAGAGGCCGTCTGCAGGCCCAAGTAGACGCTCTTCTCCAGCTTGCTCCGCTTCTTCATGGGCTCTTCGCTGCCTTGAAGCTCTGCACACAGCAGGCTCAAGTTGGCCCGCACTGTCCTAGGGGCAAGAGTGCCATGGGCACAGGTGAGCGCAGGTCCGGGAGCCTGCCTGGGTGCCCAAGCCTTGTTCTCTCCAAGCTGTGTGGCCAGGGCAGGCCTTGGCACTCTGGGGTTCTGGGGAGCTGAGGCAGCACTGGCCCAGCATGGGGACCTGCTAGCCCTCTCTGCCCACCAATCACCAGCCCTCAGTGGTTCTGGCCCCGTATCTGCCTGTCTCCTGCTAGACCCTGCTGGAAGTGGGTATCTCTTTTCCCACACTGTGTTTATCCCGCCTGCCTAGGAGGGATACCTTTTGGGTGGTGTCCAGTGAGAGAGGCTGGGGACTGGCAGGGGCCCTGGGCCTCGAGAGGCAGCCCAGTGTTCAGGCCCTGTAACCGCCTGGCCCGTATGCCTGAAACTGTGGCCCCAGCCTTTTCATCTGGTAAATGGCACAGTAGCATGGGTCCCTGTTGGTGAGGTTGGGGTGGGGAACAGGCCCAGGCCTGGCTCTTGGTTAAGTGTCCAAGGCTCAACCCTACCAGAGTCAGGAACCAAGAGCACGGAGGGAGGGACAGCTTCCCAGGGACAGGGTCCACTTCCAATGGGGCTGGGAGCCTGGGCACTCATGAGAATGAGCTTCACACAGGCACTGGGAGCCCAGTGGGGCCTTAGCCTTGTGTGGCCGGATGCCCCTTTTCACCTTCCTGGCCAGCAAGGAGGCTGGGCCTCTGGCTGAGGAGGCCAGGCAGGAAGCCCTGCAGCTCAGGGGGCCTCCTAGACCCCAGCTTCCTGCCACCCCACATGACCCTCCCACTTCCTGCACAGCAAAAAGCCTATCCCCTGGGTCCAACTGCCTCCTACTGCCACGGGGCCCAGCAACGTGGAGAGCAGGGACAGGGGCTGAAGGTGGGGGAGGCGGCAGGAAAGGAGGGCTCTGGACTCGGTTTCCTTCCCTACCCTGAAGCCGCTGTTCTCTAGCCAGGGCCTGGCTTCTCTGGTCACACAGGAAAGTGGCTTATGTTCAAGCCTCCAGGCTGGGGTTTGGGAATGGAGGCTCCAGAGCAACAGGGCAGCTGCTCCAGGGCCCACCCCAACTCTGTGCAGAGCACCCCCCACGAGGCCCCCGGCCAAGACCCCGGCCTCCAGTGGTGTTGTTCTGCCCACCAGCCCTCACGCTACTGGCGGGTTCTCAAAGGGATATCCCTGGAGCCCCCCTTTGGGTGACACCTGGCCTGGGTGGAGGGACAGCTCTGAGGCACTCCAGCCATATGGTGAATCCCTTCCTGCAGCCCACACAAACTCCCCTGCCCTGTAACCTTCTCTGCATTTGCTAATGTTTTGTGACATAAAGCCCTGAGATTAATTTTTTGCCTCTGTCTTAATTGAAGGAACCATTTAGTGCCGATTTAACTATTATTACCAAATCATCAGGATTGATGCAGTGTGCACGCGCGCCAATCGTGTTTGGAGGAGCTCGGAGGATTTATGCAAATGGGCCTGCCGGGAGAGGCAATTTGTAGCCGAGAAGGACAATTATACCCGGCCCGGGAGTGCGCCAACGACCGCGCCGGGCGGGTAATGGATAATAACATCTCGCGGCAGCCGTGAGCGGCAGCACAGCGTGACCAACGACTTTATACAGTGCAGATAAAGAGCCTTTTACGCAACGCCGCCTCGCACGTGAGGGGGCCAGGCCTTGGCCGCAGCCTGGTTCAGAGCTGGCGTGGTCGAGACCTGGTGCTGTGGCTTTCCTGAAGACTGGTACCGGTGTGAGGGCTAGGCACAAGCAGGGGTGTCTGCACTTGGGGGTGCCTCCCCCGAGCAGGGCTCTGCACTGGACACTGCCTCAGCAGCTGTGGAGGGGCCACAGCCCAGGGAGCAGGAAAAGCCCGAGAGGAGCTGGAGCGCACCTAGGCCGGCCCTGTCCAGCCGTCCCCTGCATGCAGGACTCACTTGGCTTTCTTGCCATCACTCCTGGAGAGCTGGCCCCCAGGCCGCAAGGCAGGCAGCGAGCTGGAGTGTTTGCGCTTCCTCGGCCGGCCAGGACCCCGCCTTGCCGGGCTGCTGCGGGAACCTTCTTCTCTCCTGGGGATCCCAGGGGTGCTGTCAGAGGCTTAGTGCCCCCCCGTCCCATCACCCTGACACGTCCACGACTAGACACTGCCCAGAAAGCCGCTGGGGGCAGACAGGCACTCTCAAAGCTCAGCCGGGAGCCTGCTGCCCGTCCCCTGCAGCCCTGCCTGCAGACCCTTTCTGGGTGCTAAGCCCACCCGACCTGTGGAGCAGCATCTTCCTGACCTGGCCTCTTCGGGGTGACTGGTTCTACCCTTGACTCCCTGGCCCCCTCTACTTGGTTTCCTGGCCAGCCAAAAGCCGCACTTCCAGGTCTCCTGAGTACCCCACCTCTGAGAGGCTTCCCAATCCCAGCTTCCGAGCCATTCTGGAATGGCCTCTGCCCGCGAGGGAGTGGGCAGTGCCTCCAGCAGTGGCCATGGGGGGCAGGGCGACAGCCGCGGGTCTGCCCCCCCACGTACTCATGGTCATGTCTACGCTGCAGGCGACCCAGCTCCCGCTGCTTCTCCTTGTAGCGCCGCTGCAGCTCTGCCAGCCGTACGCGCATCTCCACCTCCTGGGTGTCCAGACGGTCGATGGCGGCCTTCAGGGGGCAGACCTGCGTGCGGGATGGGGTGCAGGGGTCTGAGAGCCAGGACGGGCTGGTGGATGGCAGCCTGGGTGTGCAGGGTCACCCTGCACTGTCATGGTGCTAGGGATGTGGAACAGGACCCACTCACGGGCTTGGTCTTGGGGGTCCAGGTGTCCTTGCGCTGTAGGATCTGCATGCGGGGTGTGAGCCTGGGGCCACCATGAAGGTCGGCAGCTGGGGGCTGGGTAGAAGCCACTGTGCTGTCCAGGCTGGCGGCCTCCACCAGGGACCAGGCTGTGGCCAGCGTGGCTAGGTGCTGCAGGTTGAAGGCCAGCACGTCCTCGTCTTCTGCTGTGGGGGACAGGAGGGTGAGCAGGGTCACACAGGACACAAAGATCCAAGGGTGCCAAGTGTGTATGTGTGTGTGCGGCCCCAGACCCTGGCCTGCTGCAGGTGGGTAGGCTCTGCCCAGCAGAGGAAGCAGGACACGGCACAGGTCTCAGGGCAGGACCTCCCTGGCTTTGGCTGCTGGAAGCTGGGACAGGCAACTTGCTGTCACTGCCTTGGTCCAGGCACTGCCTCTGGTCACCCATCTTCATACAGGGCCACCCAGGTCCCCCAGCTTCCTTGTCGGCCCCATTTCCCTGCACCCCCTCCAGGGCCTCAGGTGGTGCTGGGCTGCTCCTGGCCCTGCCCACCGCACAGCCAGGCAGAGACGATTCCAGCATGCCCTGGCTATGGGGTGGGCAGTGCAGGGCACGGCTGACCTCAGGGAAGGAACGTGTAGGGAGGGTCTTGGGCCTCAGAGTTGGAGGCAGGGCAGGGGCCACAAGCTACCCTCACAGTAACGGCAGGAACCAGAGCCCTGTGGTGAGGTGGGGTGGGATCAGACTGTGACCTGGCAGAGGGTGGTGTCGAATGGAGGGGGCAAGAGGCCCAGAGCAGTGGAAACCCCAGAGATGGACGTCCAGGAGGGATGTGGCAAGTGGGGAGCCTGTGGGGTCACAGAGAAGGTGGCCTGGGACAGCAGTGCCCTAACGACAGTGAGCACCCCACGCCCTAACCCTAACTCCTAACACGTGTCCATTGAGAGGAACCGGGGCTCCTGGAGATGTGACTGACTCCAGCCAGGGGTGCAGGGTATGGGGATGATGTGACAGCACAAGGAAGCGAGGCGGCACTCCAAGAATGACAGGACATCTCGCGCACACACAGGCTGCTGCAGGGCTCCGCAGCCAACTCGGGGCAACTCGGGCACCAGAACAGACAGGACAGTAAGGGACCACGGTCAGCTGGAAAGACTCAATGCGTGTGTCACATGGCTGTGAGCATGGAGACAGGGGTGCCCTGCGGTCCCACCGGGCCCTCCAGCCATCAAGCGGCAGCCAGAGAGGGCAGCACAGTGTGAACATGGAGGGGATGGGCAGGTCACAGCCTCCCAGGGACTGATGGGTGCCTGGGGAGCACTTGGCCTCGGCATGAGGGGCGCCCAGTGCAGGGCAGGATGCAGAGAGGCTTGAGACCCCGCGGACAAATGCCCAGGGGGCAGCTGCTGGATGCTCAAACCTCTGGGCACAAGTTCTGGGCCACGGCCAGGCCGTCCACATGGGGAACCCCTAGCCTAGAGACCAGTAGCTGCTCCACGGATCCTGAGAGGAAGAGGGGAGCTGGGCGTCTCCTCTCATCTGCGCAGGGCAGCGCTATCTGCGGGCCCATTTCAGCCACCAGGCCGTCTCCCAAGTTTTGAGCTCGCGGTGATCTGCCAGTTCCTCAAGAGCACAGATGAGTTGCCCCTACGTGGCCTCGCAGACACTCTAATAGGACTGGGGGCATCCTGTCCCTCGGACCCCACAGGCCTCCGAATCAGCGCTTCTCCACCTGCCTGCCCTATGAATCCTGACTTGGTACAGAATAAAGCCAATCCATCCCTTTCAGCCGAGGTGGCCACAAAGTGGGGACAGTGCCCAGGGGACGGTGGGTGAGGCTCGCTGCCTCTCCCACGCACCCCAGCCTGGTCTGACGGTTCAGCCCCGTGCTGGCTTATGCAGCCGCCCATCCTTCACCATCTGCACAGATGGATTCGATGAACAGGATCGGGTCCTGCCGCATCCATACCATAGGCGCCCGGCACCTCCACACCCGAGCCAGTCCCCTTACAGCACCTGGCATCTCCACATGGGGTTGCTGGACAACCCCACCTTACCCTGACACATGGCCAGGAGGCCCAAGCAAGGCCTGCCCAGGGGTCTGGCTGGGAGCCACTCCATGGAGGCTCCCAGGCTTGCTCACCTCTGCACGGCCCCTCCCAGAAGCAGGGGGCTCTGGGAGGCTGCTGGGTATGTCCCAGGGAAGGCCCTCCTTGGCACTGCGTATCCTGCCCAGCAGTGACTACCTATGTCCTGCCAGGGAAAGCCTGAGGCCACGCTGCAGCCCCTAGCGGAGGAGCAACAGAGGCGAAGAGGGAAGTTAACTTCGTAAGAATCTGCACTTTTGGCTCCACACAGCACCACAGGCACAGGAAGGTCTGGGCACCGGGAAAACAAGGGGCTGAGCCCTGAGGACTCCGTTAGGTTCTTTCCTTAAATATCCAGGCACATAGTGCCCAGCTGGAGATGGTCCTTGCCCAGCAAGGTGCCTCCTCTGGGGTCCCCCACTGTGTGGGGCTGGCCATGTGGAGACAGGCCTATGGGTGGCTACAGCCTGGGAGGTGGGCCCTGGGTCTCTCTTTCTCTGGCCCCGGCCCCAGACCTCAGGCTGGGAGCCACCTCCCTGGGCTGGAAGGTGAGGCAGATGTTTCTGGAGCTGGCTCCACCAGGCCCAGGAGCCACGGAGCCTAGTGCTAAAGGCCAGGCACAGGACACCGGAGTTCTTGCCCCTTCTTCACACCGTGACATCTCTGTGAAATGGAGACAGAGCACATGGGTGCTGCCTCGAGGCCCCTCCCCTGAAACCACCACGGAGAGGCAGCCCTGGTCTTGAGGTCCTGCTCAGGACCAGTCAGCATGGCTGGGGCTAGACTGCATCCTCTCACAGGGCACTGGTGTCTTATTTCTACGGAGCAGGGCCATGCATGGAGGACACTCTTCCTGGAATCCCCCTAATTTCAGGGACAGCTGAGCGAGGCCAAAGGCCCCTGGTCAGGCTGGGAGATCCTGAATCAGCGGGAGGGTCAGCTCCAGGGTCTCGGGGAGGAAGGCCCCCAGGGCTTACCTTGTGTGGCCAGCTCACTCCTCTGCCGCTGGATCTCCAGGTCGGCCAGCTCGCTGAGCAGGGCAATCCCGTGAATCCCTGAGCTGGGGGGCCGAGGGGCCTCGCTGCGGGGCCCAGAGGCCATCGAGGGCTGAGGATCCGGCACGTTGACGCTAGGCAGGTCCCCTAGGTGCACAGTGGCAGCCACCAAGGCATCCAGGCCTGGCAGTGCCCTGAGTGGGTGGCTGCTGCTGGGAGCCCCCCAGTCATCCTCCGAGTCCCCCATGTTCTCCTCCTCCAGCTGGGGCTCCTCCTGCAGTGAGGCCTCCTCTGGGGCCTGCAGCACATCTTCCTTGTCCTCATCCAGGGCATCCAGGCTCCCTGCTTGCTGCTCTGGAGCTTGGGGGGAGACCCCCAATGGGGACCCCTGTGTCCCCTCCGCCCTGGTGCTTTCCTCTTGTGCCCCTCCCTGAGTAGAATGAGCCTGGCCAGTGGCCTTGGGGGCCCCTCCCTCGAGGAGGGCCCCAAATCTCAGTTCTTGCAGCCCCTCAAGTGGGCTGGGGTTCTCTGCCTTCTCCTGGGGTCCCTGCTTGGCAGGGTGGGGAGTGGCAGCAAGGTCTGGTGTGGCCTCCCTGGCCCCTGAGAGAAGCCCAGGTGCCTCCAGGCTCCCAGGGCTATGTGGGGGCAGCTCCCCAGGCAGGAACGTCCTTGCAGGCTCAGGCTGGGGCCCTGTGGCAGCGGTTTGCATAGTTTTGGGGCCCGAGAGTTCAGATGAGGGCAGGGAGGAGAAGCCCATGCCCGCCATAGGGTGCAGGTGTCCAGGAGGCAGGTCTGCAAAGGAGAGGACTGTCAGGAGAGGGCTGGGAGCAGCAGGAGGAAGTGAGCCCCTACTGTATTTGGGGGGTAGCATTGCAAATCCTCAGACTCATAACCGGGGGGGCCCTGGCCACCCTCTGACGGCAGAACAAAGAGGTAGGGACAGGGGACACATTACATTAAGGGGCAGCAGGAGGCCAGACCTTAGAGCCAGTCTCCAGGCAGCTGGGAGCCTCAGGGGCCATCCCAGGCGCAGTGCGGTGTGGCTTAACCAAAACAGGGGATTCTAAAACGTGATGCCTGAATCAGGGTTTTCCCTGAACCGGAACAAGTCAGCAGTGTGTCAGAGGCATTACGCCTCATTGACTGTAATAATAATAATAGTAAAAAAAAAAAAGAAAAGAAAAACTAAAACACACATACACATGAAACCTCTGTTGGCTCAGTCTCCTAACTGTGGAACCGGGGTGGGTTTTATGTTCGCCTCACAGGTTTCCAGAGTAAGCTCGGATTCAGTGAGAATCACATGGGCTGCTGGGAGCTGGCGGGCAGCACGTCCAAGACCCCCACAGGCCAACCCTCCCCTTCTCAGGGCCGGGGCCCCTGGTACGCCCCGATACCCCGTCCCCAGCTCTGCTGAGCCCAGGCTCGTGGCCAAGGAAAGATCCTGTGTCTGGTGCCCATGGAGCCTTGCCACCATCCCAGACAGACCTGCACCTCATCCTTCACAGGCGCCCCGTGGTGGCCAACAGGGCCTAGCCTGTGGCCACCTGCATTGGGACACCGCGTGCTTCTCCATGGATCACCCAGGTGGTTGAAGACAGAAGAGGAGGGGGTGGAAAGGCCCTGCCCCCAGCAGAGGGCCCAGGCCGGAGAGGCAGCCCCTGCTGGTTAGCGGCCTGGCTCTGGTGGGGCGGGGTGTGCAGGGCAGCCGCCCGCTCTCACCTGGTTCCAATGTGGTGAGGTCGGCCCCGGCCTGCCGGCACTGCCCATTCTCGTCCTCGGCACTGGGCACCTTAGAGCTGGGCCCGGGGCTGCTGGCGGGGCAGATGGATAAAGTGCAGGGGGCACTGGGATGAGGAGGTGGTGTGGGGCAGCTGGCCGGGGGCTTCAGGGCGGGTGAGTGGCAACAGGGGGAGAGCTTGACCGGGCCTGCAGCCATGGGCGAGGGGGCGCCCTTGGCCATGGGGGCTAAGGCAACTGGCTTGTGGCTGGACGTCAGGGCCTTTTCCCGGGTGGGCTCCTCCAGCTCCAGGTGGCTGTCCTCGGACTTCCGCTGTGGGGTGGGGGGAGAAGCTCAGCCCGCAGGCCCTCTGCCCGAGCCCCATGGTCTGGAGGAAGGCATGCAGATGGACCTGGGGCCGGCTGGGCTGGAGCCTGGCGGGACAGAAGTGCCCTGGCTCCAGCGGGGTGTGGCTAGGGTACCTGGAGCTGGGCGGCCCGGTGCATCTCCAGGGCCTGGGCGGCCCGATGCTGCTGCTGCTGCTGCTGCTGCTGCAGCTGGTGCTGGTGCTGCTGCTGGTGCTGCTGCTGCTGCTGTTGCTGCTGCAGGGCGTACAGCTCTTGCTGTCGCAGCAGCTGAGAGCGTGCGTAAACAGGGAGCTGGCCAGGGTGCTGCATGTGGGAGGCCGGCGCCCGGGCCCCGTACATCGGGGGCCACAGCGAGGCCTGGTCCATGACATCAGCTGCAGGCCAGACCAGGGGCGCCAGCTCAGCTAGGGACAGAGGACCTATCCAGGCTGCACACCCTGTCCCCCAGGCCCCTCCTCCCCGGTCCTGTCCCAGCAGAACCACCTCACACTGCGAGCCCCTAGCCAGCCTCCTGCGCCACCCTCCCACTCCCCAGACTGTCCCCTCCCCTGGCCAGAGGCCCGTGTGCAAAGAGGGAGGTCCAGGAGGCCTGAGAGGCCCTTACCAAGCGCATGGGGGGCTGCGTGGGGTGTGGGCTCCGAGGGCAAGATCACGAGCTGTGTGGGGGTGTCTTGGGGGAGCGGGAAGACAGAGGGCATGGAGCCGGGCACAGAGGCAGGGAAGCCAGGGGGCAGGTTCTGGTGCAGGGCGGGGTGCCCCAGGCCTGGGGAGCACAGGCACAGCAGCATCAGTCATCCAGGCCCCCTGCTCCTGGGGCTCCCAGCCAGGAGAGGACCCGAGGATCCCGTCAGCCCGGTCCACCCGCCTGTCCTGGGAGACTGACCATAGGAATGTCCCCCCATCCACAGGGAGGGGCTGCGGGTTCGTGGCAGCCAGGGGGGGTGGGCAGGATGGGGGTGGGAGGCTGGGTCCCTGCCCAGCTGGCCCCCCTGCATCATGAGGTGGGGGGCCAGGTCTCCGGGGCAGCTGCTTGAGGGATGGATCCGGGCAAATTCCACGAGGTCTTTGTTGTCCCTGTAAGATCACTGGAGTCAGTCCTGCTACCCGATGACCCTGCCCTGCTCCCCCAAGCCCGGGCCCATCAACCTGGAGGGGAAAAGAGGCGCAGGGCCCCACCGTGGGCCTACGGCAGAGGGTGTGTGAGCAGAGGGCTCCCGAGAAGGTGCCAGGGTGGATGTGCAAGCAACCTGCCCGCGACAGGCCACGGAGCCCGGTGTCCCAGCCAGGGCCACCCTCCGCTTCTCCCAGGAGAGCTAGGAGTGGGTGCGGCCCCGTCAGGGCCAAAGCCTGGCTCTTCCTTACTGTAGCAGCAGCTCACGGCCGGCCAGGCCCAGGCGCTCATCACACAGCCTCGTCTTCTCCTCCTCACTCTCCAGGTCCAGCGCATGTGTGGCTCGGGGGCCCCCACCAGCTGCGCAGGCCAAGAGGACAGATTGTGACTCTGGGGCCAGCCAGAGCCCCCCGAGCTGGGGGCTGTGCATGGAAGAGGGCTCCCTGCCCTGGGGCCGCGGGAGCGTCTTCAGGGGCAGGTGAGGGGAGCTGACCGAGCTCCCGGGGTAGGACAAAGCGGGCCCTGGGTCCCCTGGACATCACCCCATGCTCCTGCCCGCGAGGGGCTGTACCTTTGAAGGCGGTGGCTGCCCGGCCCTGCCGCCCACTGTTAGTGCCATAGCCCGTCTCGGGCCGGCTCGCTGTGTCTTTCTGCCGGGCCAAGGCCACTGCGATGCCCACAGGGGGCTGCCGCACCTCCCCATCTCCGTGTGGGGTGTCGTGCTCCCGGCTGCGGGCACAGTCAGGCCTCTCTACCGAGCCTGGGCCCTTGGAGGCCGGGAACTTCAATTCCTGCTGGACACAGCTGGCTTTGAGGCCACCCAGACCCACGAAGGGAGCCTTCTGGCCCACCACGAGGGCCTGGTTGCTATATTTAAGCAGGTTCTTCATGGCGGAGACCTCGTCCGGTGGGGTAGGCAGCTCCTGGGGCAGGAGGGCTGCCTGCTGCAGGCCACTGCCGAAGGGGTCCAGGTAGGCACTGCCCTTGCGCTCCTCACTGATGGCCATGGTGGTGGCCTGACCCGCCTGGATGCTCCAGGGGGGCAAGTGAGGCCCGCCATAGCCCAGAGACGCCAGCTCCAGGGACTTACGCTTGGCCTCAGCCCCGCTGCCTCCGGGCTCAACTTCAGGGGCCACCAAGTGCTGCTGATGCCGGATCCGGGCCACCTTCTGGCCCCCGGGGGCACCGGCGGGAGCCTCCTTGTTGACGGCTTTGTCTAAAGTGCAGCAGGCCTGGGTGGCTTTCCCGCCCAGTGGGTCCTGGTGAGGGGGCCGAGCACAGTCCTGGGAAGGGGCAGGCAACTCGAAGTAGCCACTTTTATCCAGACTGGCTTTGGGGAGTCCAGGAAAGGGGGCCTCGGGGCCAGTGCTGAGATACTCCAGGCCCTTCAGTCGGGGGTTCAGGGCTGCCTCAAAGCCTCCAGGTCGCCGCTCGACCTTGCCCTCGGCCTTCAGGTGGGCATAGGAGACCCCATAGGGCACAACGTGGTCAGGGGCCATCGCCCCGTCTAGGTGTCGGTCCTTGCCCTCCCCTGCCACAGCACAGGCCTCAGCTGCCTGGAAGGGGCGGCTCTTATCGGCCAGGTGTCCCACAGAAGGCACAAAGGTGGGCCTGCTGGCCTTGAGGTCTCGGGGGACCTTGTCTTGCAGTGGACAGAGCCCATCTGGGCCCGCGTGCAGCTGCAGGCAGGGGAAGGAGCCAGAGGCCGTGCTGAGGGGCGGGGGTGGCCCGGTGGGCAGGCCAGAGGGCACCGTGTAGGGGACCGTGTGGTGCAGCATCTGTCGCCGCTCCAGGCACTCGCTGAAGGCTGGCCCGGGCTCTGTGTGGCCCACTGGCTCCTTGGCGCAGCGTCCAGAGGCTGCCACGCTGACGCCAGGCCGGCCCAGCACAGCCCCTGTGCAGCTGGCCAGTGGGGCCTTGCCCAGGTCGTCATTGAGCACCTTGGCGTTGAGGAGGCAGGAGGCGGGGTGTTTGGGGCGGCCCTCACAGGAGCCCCGGGGCACTGGGCCACCCTCTTTGCAGGGCCCATCAGCTGGCATGGGCACCAGCTTGGGCCGCTCCTTGCTGCTGTCCTCCTCTGCTGCCGGTCGCTCCCTGCCTTCTGCCACCTTGCTGGCCTTCTCTTTGCCCATTTCTTTGCCCATGAGGAAGCCGTCAAACTCCTTGGGGCCTTTCTGAGAGGGCCCAGCCTCAGCCCGGTCACGGCTGCAGGAGCCGATGGGGTGAGCAGGCGCAGTCCGGGCCACACCAGGGAAGTTGTGGTTGGCAGGCAGGAGCGTGGGCTGCGGGGGCAGGTTGCGCAGGTAGAAGTTATCTGTGGGCCCAAAGAGCCAAGGTCAACAAGAAGCCTGGGGCGGGGCTCAGACTCCCTAGAACACCGGGCCCAGGTGCCTGCCCCAACCCCAGCTGGCACCAGCTGTCTAGGGAAGGTGTTTGCTTCTGGGTTTTCTGGAGACAAGGCCTTGCTATGTAGTCCAGGATAGCTTTGAACTCACTACTGTAGCCCAGGCCTCAAACCTGAGATCCTCTTGCCCCAACTTCCCTAGTGCTGGCACTATAGGGTTTTGGTTCATTTTTAAACTATTAAATAAAATATATATAACAAGATGTACAAGATGTACACACGGTTTGATGGAATTAAGCCACATTCACAATGAGGCATGACCATCACCACCGGAACTCTTCTACTCCCTAAACTGAAGCTTCCTTCCCATGAAACACTATCCCCACACACCAAGCTATAGCCTCAGAACTCCAAGGCGACAATGGCCTCTCACTAGGTCTTGGCAGCCCAGGTTCCCTAAATATTTTCAGAGCATGAGGCGTGGGACAGGAGCACCTTCCTTGCTCCCTCTGGGGAGCTCCTCTTTGGGGGAGCACATCTCAGTGGGGTCTTTAGGAATGCACATGAGAACTACAAAGGCAGGGCGCTGCCCACATGCACCACCTCAAAGCTTGCTGGCCAGGCGCTCGGGGACTGCAGACAGCCCTGCAGCCTGGGGACCACCGGGGTTGTGCTATGGATGGTCAGGGGCTGGGTGTGGAGGCCTGGGGGGGCCCATATCTGGGACACCCGAGGAGGCCCAGTCCCTCAACATCCTAACTAGGTGTCTCAGATCGGGGACAGGGATGGGTTATAAAAGGAAGGCAGATGTTCCCGGGAGGACAGCGGTGGGACTGTCCAACCTGGGCACCCTCGGGGCACCCATCTGCAAGGACTGCCTGCAGCCAGGGCTCCACTGGGCAAACCTTCTGCCCTCAGAGGACTCTGCTCCCTGCTGTCTAGGCTGGCCCTGGTGGATACCAAGGCCACTACTGGGCCAGGTCGATGCCTCTCTGGGACCCTGGGGGCTTCTCCTCCTTTCACCCAGCTTCGTGGGCAGGCAGCAGGGTGAGGCCCAGAGAGAGCAGAGGAGGGGAAGGCAAAAGAGACGTTGGGAACTTGTAAAACTGTCCTCAGTCATGTAAATTTCTTGTCAATTTCCTGCTAATTAAAAAGGAGGGGAGAGGGGCTGAAAGGGGTAGCCCAGGAGAAACCTAATTAGCTCAACTTCCAAAACCAAATAATGTTCTTGGATGAGGCTCCACCACAATATTGTGAAAGCCCAGAGGCCCAGCCAGAGAGGCCCAGCCAGCACAGCCCGGACACCAGCAGGCCCACGGCCCACGGCCCACAGCCCACTGCCAGGGAGGGAGTCCTGGGCCCCAGTTCCGTTCCGCGGTCAGGTTTCTGGGGCCGGGACCAGCCACCTGCCCACCCCTGACAAATGTCAAAACAGCTGCACTTGCCTGACATGCTGACTGGTAGATTGGGGGGGATCCCCTGGGGCCCGAGGGAGGCTCTTCCCCAGGCAGCAGAACTTGGGGAGCAGGCTGCGTTTGCTGGGAGCATCCAGTTTGGTACAGGACCAGTGGGAAATCCCGAGTGGGCTCTCGAGCTCCCTGGCCCTCCCACAAAGACCTGCGCCCATCACAGCTGGCCAGTCCCAGCCAGGCCAAAGCCCTCCTTTAATAGCTCAGGGCTCTTTTGGGCTCAAAGGACCAAAGATGCTGGACACACCAAGGTCCCTGGCCTGAGACAGCAGGAGGACTGGCCACAGGTTCCTCTGCACCTCTGGGTGTCCTGTCCACCTCCAGGCCCTGCTGTCTGCCTGTGAGCCTGTCCTCATAACCCACGGGGGCTCCAGGACTGTTGTGAAGAAACCAGTCTTCACCGGCTGCACACTGGGTGACCCTCTGCACATGGACTTGTGGCCCGGTCAACCCTGCACCTCTTGGTGATGCCCCCAGCCTCTGCAACCTAGCTGAACTCACCCCTCCCCTCGGGACTTCACCTAAGTGCTCCCTCCCACAGCCCAGAGCAGACTGGTCATCTGGGATCCCCCGCCTTCCCCGACCCAAGCTGCATTCTGTTTGTTTTTTGAGACAGGATCTCACTACGTAGCCCAGGCTGGCCTCAAACTCACGGCGATCCTCTTGTCTCAGCCTCCCCAGTGCTGAGATGACAGGTGTCTGCCACCATGCCTGGCCCAAGATGCATTTTTTTTTGGTACCGGGGATTGAACTTGGGTCCTAAGCTTGCGAGGGAGGGGGCGGAACCACTGAGCTACATCCCTGGCCCCCCAAGATGCATTTTTTAAAACATACTTAATTTTTTGGGCTGGGAAATTAGCTCAGTGGTTCCACCACCTGTCTTGCAAGCACAAGGTCCCAAGTTTGATCCCTGGTACCAAAAAAAAATTTAATTTGTGAAATTCTTTTTTTTTTTTTTTCAGTATTGTGTTTGAACCCAGGCTGGGTTCAACTTGCCATCCTCCTCTCCTGGTCTCCCAGAATACTAGGATTACAGGTGTTGATTCCAGCCCCTAGGACATGATGTCTGGGTTCACCCGAAACACGATCACTACACTTCAATGCCTCCCCAGCCTCCGGGCACCACCCTAGGGAGGGATTTCTAAAACTCAAATGAGCCATCCCCTCAACCCCAGGAAAAAGTTTAACTTGTAACAGAGACCAAGGCTTCTGAGCCCCTCAGGCCACCTCCTGTAGCCTCCTGATGCCCAGGCTGTTCCCACGCAGGAGCCCCTGCTAGGGCTCCACCGGCTATTTCTCAGGAAAGACCCAAAGTCTCTGCCCCTTCTCTGGGGACCCTGGTGCTAGTGGAATGAGCGGCCCCCTCCTCTGTCCATAGGACACTGCTCTGCCCCACCCCCACTGCCAGACCTCAGGAGGGAGCTGGGTTCCTGGAGCCCGGGGGTCTCTCCCAGGCCCAAGCCTAGGAGTGCAGGCCTATGAGACTCTCTCCTGCCACATTCCTTCCGAACCCCATCTCCGGGACCCTGAACTGTGGGGTACAAGGCAAGGGCAGGAGGAGGACATGGACTCCAACCCCAAGAGCTGGAGACAGTGAGGCTGTGTTTTAGGGGTGCAGCTGGGGTTGAGACCTAGTGGACAAGGCCCACCAGGCTGGCTGCCTTCACCTGTGCCCTAGGGGCTCCCTGCCCTGCCAACCCCTGCACCCCACACCAGCCCCCATGTGGCACTTGCCTTTTTGGGTTCCATAGAAACGATGCTGCCCGCAGAGAACATTACTGTTTCCATGGTGATCCAAGTGGCTCACGGGTAGGAAAGTGGATGCCAGACTCCCCGAAAATCTGGGGTACGCCGGAGCTAGAGAAGCAAAGGGACTGGCTGTGGCATTAGGTCCCGGGTCCTTGGCCCAAACCGCCCGGATCCCAGGAAGACAAGAAGCTGGCAGGCGGTCCAGGAGCGGCGCCCTGCGGAGCCCAGCAGGCAGCCCGCCGGTGGGAAATCAGCCCATCAATACATCATATTAACTCTGACTCGACTAATACCATCCCTCTGGTGCAGCACAAATTGAATTGCTTATGGGCTGGGAGAGAGGGGAGGCTGGAGGGGGCGCCTGATTCCCTCCCGGCGCTGGGTGTTTCGAACGCTGCCAGGTGGACACAAAGGAGCTTAGAGAGGGGTTCTGGGAGGAGGGGCGCAGGCAGGCAGGCATCCTGCCAGGGCCAGAGCCTGACTCCCACCTGTACCACCGTCCACCAGGAGGGAGGAGGTCCCGGGCCAGCTGTGCTGTGGTGAGCTGGTCTGGGTGACCCACACCAGGCTATGCCTCTGGGGTGCCGCAGGCTCCTGTCAGCCGGAAGCCACAGGTGTCACTGCTGGTGGAGCGCTCCACCTAGGCCAGAGGCCTGGCCTCTTCATGCTCTGACATCTGCAGCACGGCTGGTCCTGAGCCGGTCCCAGCAGTGGCAGCATTGTCCCCAGAAGCCACTGTGTAAGCCCACAGCCTCTAGCCTTTACCTAGCGATTTCGGCTCATGCCAGGAGGGCCCCCTCTCAGAGCTGAAAGTGTTCGTCCCCGTAAGGCAGCCAAGGTTCTGAGTGGTCACTTGCCCAGTGCACGGATGCTAGCCGTGGCCCTGAGTTGGTCCCACTGTTGGCCCTGGGCACCTGGGACCCCCTATGAAGTCCTAGCTTGCAGGACAGGCAGGACTGAGTACCAGTCTGGGTGCCGGGTCGCCATCAGCCACCAGAGACGTGGCTTCTTGGGGCTGGTCCTTCTTCACAAGGTCCGACAGGAGATGGGGACCTAGACCACTGGCACTGCCAGACTCGTGTCCACTCAGCTCCCCAGCCGCAGCCCAGTCACTTGGAGTTGAGACCTGTCCTTTATGGTCAGACTCGGATGCCATCTGTTAGATGGGCAGGTGGCTTCCTGAGGGGGAGCTGGGCTGAGCTGAGGTCTGTCCAGCCAGTGGACTGCATGTCCTCAAAGCCTGGGGCCCAGGAGGCCGCCTTCTGCCCTTCTGTCCCTAAGGGACAAATGTTTGAGGCAGGATGCCTGGAGCACCCACTTGGTGATACCCCTGCAGGATGCCCTTTCTCATTCTACAGAATAAACCAGAACCAGCTGGGCTGGGCAGGGCAGGCTCTCTGCCTCACTCTACAATGGTTAGGCCCCAGAGGAGTCTTTCTTGGGGACTCTACTACTGTCCTGAGAGCTTCCTGACTCTGTCTCACTTCTCAGGCTGCTCTGGGTGGTAACTAGCAGCCAGGTTTCTCTAGGGACAGGGAAGGGAGGGAAGAGGGCCCTGGGGACAGCAGGTCAGGCAGGGAGGCCTCCCAAGGGCCTGTCTGGGCACCTGTCAGAGCTGTCACCTGATAAAAAGGTGTCCTGAGCCACACGCCAGGAAACCAGGTACCAGGACTCTCTCTCGAGTGTCTCAGTGAAGTCACAGACAGGTCTCACAGCTGACAGGTTCATGCTACCTTGGTTTACATTGTTTCCCAAACTTCTTTTCTCATGGGACCCCTGTGTCTTTTTTTGTGTGGGACTCTTATTAACAATGCATGGGCCAAGTGTTCCAAGGGATCTACTCTGAAGAACACCTTTTTGGAAGTCAAACGCTGAAGAAGTAGATCCAGAGCAACAGGATAGATCCCCAGGCCCATCTCCGTCTCCATGATCTGTCTCAGGCCCGGGGATGAGGATGATCACCTCAGTGTTCCTTCCAGCTCAGGGCCAGGGTCCCTGTGGGTGCATGAGGCCTGTAGCCCTGGTGCCTACCCTGAGCACTGGGGGTGCAGGCAGCCCTCTGCAGGCCGAGGCCAGGGCAGCGGGGTCAGTGGGTGACTGAGGGATAGTCCCTGGGCCTGGCTTGGAGCCAAAGGATGAGGGCACAAGAGAAAGTGCTTCGGGTGGCCTACGGGGACACTCCAGGACCCCACAGCCAGACCGTGACATCCATGGTACCTCGATCCCAGTGGACACGTGGCAGCGGCAGGCCGCCGCTCAGGCTCTGACGCCACCACTGAACCTTCTTTGGCTCAACGCGTGCAAATGAGGCCATGGACTGTCCCCTGCAGAGCCCTGGCCCCCAGCCGAGTCTGGAAGGGGCTGCCAAGCGGCTGGAGAACCTGCTTTGGGAGCTGACCCTGCCCTCTGGGGAGGGCTCACCCTGGGGAGCGTGCTGCGCCGACCCTGTCCCCCCAGACCCTTCCTGCTGACGAACGGGCTGAGGCTGGAGCGCTCGGCCAACTGGCCTGGCGTGTGGGGCACATCGGCAGCAGATGTCGGCCAGATTAAACTCAGCTCCTGGAAGACTTGACAAAGGCCTAGGAAACCAGGCAAGGCCTAGGGGGGCTGGTTAAACCACCACAGCTGTCCCCCTGTAATTGGCTGCTGTTAAATATTTTACGGGCCTCATTTTCGTAAACAGAAGTCTGTAAATTCCTCCTTCCCAGACTCCGTTTTCCAGCGTTTCCCAGGATGAGCAGTGTGGACCCCCACACCTCTGTGTCTCTCAAGAGGTCAGGGCCTCCCCCACGCTCAGGGGCAGCAGGCGCGTAGCCAGCTGAGGAGCCAGCCCCTTCCTGCCTGCTGCCCTCTGGGGCAGTGTGAGGGTGTACGGCCTTGGTGTCCCTCCACTTCTGAGCCTGGACTGGTGGTGTCCAGCCCAGGAAGCGGCGGCAGAAACCCCCCGGGGGCCCAGCCCAAAGGCCCAGCCAGCTCCTCTCCATCCTGCTCCAGGCCCCCGCCTCTGAGGCCCCAGATGGGGAACTAGGGGTGGAGGAAGGGGTGCAGAGCAGGAAGAGGGAAAAGCAGGGGTGGGGGCTGGGAGTGGGGAGGGCGTCCTCCCCACCCAGCAACAGAAAAGCCCCTTTCTTTTTCCCAAAACTGCACTCTCTGAACTGAAGAAGAAGATAAAATATGAATCAAAGCAGCTGCCGTGAGACCAGAACCAGAAGCCGGGGCTGGTGTGGCCGGTCAGGGGAGCCGTGGGTCCCTTGAGGAAGCCACTGCCAAGGAGACTGGGGGTGGTGAACCCTGGGGGGAACCCCAGGACAGCGGAGAGAGGGCCCACTGGACAGGGTCACGGCTGGGGTCAGGGCTGGGGGTGGCTGTAGTCCCTCAGGCTGGGGGACTCAAACCCACATCCCTGCCGGGGGCACCACCCTACCCCGGAGCCTCGCACCTTGAGTTTGGGCCACTACAATCACCCCAAAGGACAGGCGGCAAACTTGGGGCTGCCCACTGCTGCGAAGCCCCCAGCTGACTTGGGGACAGGCCTTGGAGAGGGCTGTGAAGGTCTCACTGAGGACATCCTGCCCTTCCTGCCCTGACTACTGACCCCGGTGCCCGGAGAGCTGAGCCCAATCCTGGGACTTGAGCGGCCCAGAGGAGAGGAGGAGCGGCTCAGGGCTCAGCCCTCTGTGGGCATCATGTAGGGGAGGGGACCAGGGAAGGCAAAGGCCCGAGGGAGGACCGGGCAGGCGGCGTGGGGACTCCTCCTGCCCATCCGGGAGGAGGAGGTGGGCATGGCAGCTGCTGCTCAGCTCTCCACGGAGACCTTCTAGGAGACACAGGCCGGGGAATGGGCCCCGCTTTTTGTGCGACCTGGCACGTTCCTGCCATGTGGCATCTGCTACCCGTGCTGACCTTCAACACCAACTCAGCGCTGGCCATTTCCCAGGTGACAGCCTGCACCCGGGGTGCTGGTTAAGGAGGGTCTGCGGCTGTGTTCACAGGCAGCACTCCTGACCAGCGAGGCTGGCTCTGGGTACACGCAGGGCCATGGCGGTGTGTTTGGAGGACACCTGCCATCCCTTGCTTTAGTGCCTGAAGGGAGCAACCTCGCCACAGCCCTCTCACCAAGTTTTCCCTGCCAGATACCTCTGTTTCTGTTCATAAGCCCCCTCCACCCAGGCAGTCCGTCACCTGGATCTCTAGGCTATGACTTCTAAGTGCTGCCCCCGGGACTGACACCAACTCCTGGGTTCTGGTGGTGGGAAAACCTGGTGTGCCCAGTGCGGCCTCCGCAGAAACGTGGGGTGCCGGATCTGGGGCGCTGTGTTCACACGCTAATGCACAGCTGCCCCAGGGTTAGGGCCTGGCAGGCCCCACCCATCCCCACGGTGAGAGGAGCAGCTAAGAACAGATGGAAGGAGCCAGGCTCCCACAGGCACCTCTGGAATAAGAGGACCTGGGCGAGCCCTGGACAGTCCCCAGCCCCAGGCTGGCTGCAGGCAGGTGGGCTGGGGTGGCCTGGAGTCTGGCCTGCTGCAGGCTTCAGGCTGGAGAAGGCAACTGAGAATCCTCTAAGCTTGTGCCCAGAAGCACCCTGGGCATGACCTCTAAACTCTTCACGCACATCTGGACGGCAGCTCTCCACTCCACTTTCCTCCTCTCCCTCTGCAGGCACACCTCGGGCACATGAGGGCATCGTGCCTGGGACCCTACTCACCGAGGAGCTGTGTGCTCTGCTCCCCCCAGGACACCATCCCAGGGGCCACCCCAGCACCTACAGTGGCGCAGAACACGGAGGAGAAGGGGCAGGTCTCAGCCCAGCCTGCAGTACTCATCCGGTTTCCCCTGCATCCCAACAGCTGTTCTGCTAAGTGTGGTCTATGGATGGGGAAACTGAGGCTCAGAGCCTGGCAGCTGGGCATGTGGACTGGAGGCCAATGCAGCGCTGGGGCTGTGAAGACTTCCCTTGGATCTGCTCTGGGAGGGGCAGAGCCCACAGCCTTGTCCACTGCAGCCCTGGGATCCACAGCTCCCCGGGGGGTGGCCAGGGCCATGTGCAAGCCTTCTGAGCCCACAGCAGCCTCCGATCAGAGCCCGGCCAAGGCCCTGGCTCCAGGACCACAGCATACAGGGGCCACGGGCCTGCATCGAGGTAGAGGTAAGGGAGGGAGCGAGGGACAGGAGGCCAGGGCCCCAGGGGGCAGGTTGAGGGAGCATCTCTGTCACCTAGGAAACAGGTGCAAGAGAGGGTGATAGCTTCTGGGGTCTGCAGAAAGGGGCAGGAGCAAGGGCAGCTGGCAGAGCTGGCAGTTACAGGGGACGGCGCTGGAGGGCCACCAGAGCCTCTGACCCTTCGAGGCAGTGGGCACCTAGTAGGACCTCTGTCCCTCTCTCAGACAGGTTCCTGAATTCCTTGCAAGTCCTCAGGCCTTGGAGGGACCAGAGGGGGCAGCTGGCAGTAGGCAGGAGGCCGTGGGTACATGTGGTGGCTGCTGTGGGCGGCCCTGCCCCCACTGGATCCCGGCCAGGCCCCATGGAGAAGTGGCCCCTGGGGTAGGGCTGCTCTGACAAAGAGGCCAGCCAGGCGGACAGCCAGTGCTGGCACATGTGCCCGTGGTTCCCCCTCCAGGTGGCACAAGAGACCACAAGGAGCCTGGCTGCGGGAGCTCCATAACTCCAGTCCCCCTAGCCAAGCCCCCCAGAAACAGAACCCCTTTCATGGCCCCGTGGGTGGTCCCAGCCAGGCAGCTGGGGGTGGGGTGGGAGAGGGCCAGGCTCACTGACAATAGGCCCAGCTGTGCTGCGCCCACACCCGCGCTGACCCACCCAGGACAGGCTGGCTGGACAGTGGCTCCCTGCTGCTCCCCCAGTTCCGCCGCCCAGCCCACCCTGGGCCCTGAAGCCACCACTGCTGGTGAAGCCCATTGGTCAGGAGGCCCGGGGTGGAACAAACAGGCCGTGCCCCAGGCCAGATGTTCTGGGGCGGCTCCTCCAGCTCCGGGGTGCCTCCCTGTACCCCCAGCTGTTCAGGGACAGAGGAAGCCCTGGCCCCGCTCTAGCAGCTGCCTTGCAGATGGTGAGGTGGGGGGGTCTTCCGGCCAGCTAGGAGGCCCCGCTCAGGGTGGGGGATCCAGGGCTTACTCCCACCTGGGATCTGGTCTGCCCAGCTCACCCTGGCCTCCTCGCCCTTGACACAGCAGCTCTCAGGGCCAGGGCCAGGGTGGCAAGCTAGCTTTGCCTCTAGCTGAGAGACACCTGCCTCTCTGCTGACCCAGGGGCAACGAAGGCAATCAGGACAAGGATGAGGCCAGGCCTCAGAGGAGACCGCCTAGGCAGCCCCCCGTGAAGCCCAGCCCTCTCTCTGGCCATGTCGCATGCCCCCCCGCCTTGCCCCCCACCCTCCTGAATACACACGGCTGAGGAACAGGCCCTGGCACGCGGGAGCCAGCTGGCACCCAGTCAAACTAGCAGCCAGGCACGCTGCCAGGGCAGCCAGCCAGCCTGCCACTCGCTGCGGCCCCGCCCGCCCTGGCCTCTGCCGGCACGGGGAGCTCACAGCCGGCCGGCACCATGTGGCTCTCGCTGGAGTGAAGCCGCAGGCGCAGAGGGCAGGGGATGCCCTGAAGGGAGGAGATCCTGAGCGAGTAAGAGGGAAGTTTACCAGGACACTGAGTGGAAACTGAGGCACAGACCAAGAAGTTGGATGTAGTCGAATGACACCCAGACAGATGTAGACTCACTGCCACCCTCGGGTGGGACCTGGCAGGTTGGGGATGGGCTCCCCCACCCAGGACCACTGGTCCCATGCCCATCCCCTAGTGGACCCTGTGCAGCACCCTGTATTCTAGAGCTGGAAGTGGCTGAGGCGTGTCCCACCCCCTGCATCCACCTGGGTGCACCTCCCTGATCAGGCTGTAGGCACACTGATGATGGGAATGGCTCCTTACACCTGGGCTGGGGTGCCCAGAGCAGAGGGTGGCCACTGGCCATAGGCTGGTCTCGAAAACAGGCCTCTGTGGGTGCCAGCCCCTCTTCCTGCCTTCCCAGATCAGGCCCACCAGGGGACGGGGAAGGCTGGGTGTCAGCCAAACACAGGGGCTGGTCCACCCTCCCCAGGGCACCATCTCTAGCCAAATGGATGCTGCCAGGGCCTGGAGGAAGATGGAACCGCCGGGGCTGCACCTCATGGTGGGTCTGAGTTATGGGTGCCTGGGGGTCTATGAGCAGCTCCACCAGGCAGCCGTTGGCACAAGAGGAAGTGAGCTTCGCAAGGCCGTTGTGGGCACTGTCTGCAGGCCACCGCCCACCCACACTCTGAGCAGACCCAGGGCAGAATGGGACTCTGGGGCAGGTGGTGCTACCCGCAAACCGTCCTCCTTGCTGGTGGGTCCCCAGGGTGGGATGGAGAGGAAGTGGGAATTTGAGCCTCTGATGCAGAACTTGAGGGTGGGCTGTCCCATTTCTGAGCCCTGAGGAGGGTTCCTGGTTAGCTGCAAGGAAGGGAAACCAAGTCAGCCGCCCAGGTGTGCTAGGGTGCCTCTGCCAGGCCAGGAAGGGCAGGGACTCTGGCTTGGGCTGAGGTCCCTTCCCTGCCTGGTTCCCTGCTTGGCACCCTCCTTCCTCCTGCAGACGTCTGGAGGGCCAGAGGCCCTGGCCAGCCAGATACCCATTTAAAGGCTCGAAGGAGAGTAGGGAGGAGCAGTGCCTGCAGGGCGTGGGGCACAGGGAAGTAGGCCGAGGATCCCGCTCTGGCCACTTGGTGCTCAGCACCTACTGGCCTGGGCTCCACCCGGGAAGAATGCTGCTCCTTATCGCCGGCCGAACATGCGCTTTTCAAGCGGCGCCTAAAGCCCAGATTATTTTAACAACTGTCCCTCACTCGTCACCTGTCCCGTTTGGAAAACAGCCCCTTTCTTGTTGCACAAAGAGAGGTTTCTCTGGCTTCCAGAAGTGCTGGGCGCTAATCTCCCTGCCTGGAACATGGGCGGGCGGCGGCACGGTGTGTGGGTCCACAGCTCTGTAAACACGACGTGAGTGCAGCAGTCATTGAGTTACGGTGGTGCCGGTGCCAGGAGTAAGCGCCCTGTGTGGCTGCTGCCAACTGCAATTACCTCCCTTGTGCCAGCCAGCAGGGGGCTTAACCCTTCCCACACCACGGGGATGGCACAGCCACACGGATGCCAATAGCTATGGGGTCAGGGACACTGGGGCCTTGGGCCAGCGCTCAAGTAGCAGCACCAGAGAGCTGAGCAGGGCACACCACACCCTGGGGTCCCAACGGAGCCTCAGGGGACTCCTGGGGCCATGACACCCGAGAGTGATGGGCGTTCACTAGGTACTGACTGGGTGCCAGGCCTAGAGGCTCTGTCCTGGACAGGGCATCAGGGAGGCAGCCTGTGCCTGGTGACAGTGCTCCCCTCCCTGTCTCTCCCCCTCAGCTGGCACATCTGGAGCCCACGCCTCCTCATGTCTGGGGAGGTGGGTGCAGCCCAGCCTGGCTGACCCAGCTGCGCTCCACATTTCCTCAGCTCCCCAGAGACCTCCCTGCCCAACGCCCCTCCTCCCTCTCTGCCCATCTGGAGCACACATCTGGCCAGGACCAGTGCTTAGCAGGGCCATCCTCTGTTTGCAATCAATTACCCCCCCCCAAGGGGCTTCCTCAGCAGGGAGCGGCCCCCACCCCAGCGTGCTTGGCAGCGCTCACCATGGTCAGCCATGTGGCCACCACAGTGCCACTGAGGAGCCTAGGACCTTGGCTTACCTTCATGGGAGTGGGAGAACCAGATCTGGGAGGTGCCAGGGTGGGAGCCTCGGTAGGCCTGCTCAGAGGGGGCAGAGGTGGGGCCGCTGGGGTGCGTGGAAGCTGCCGAGCCCAGGCTGCCGGTGAGGAAGCTGCCCATAAAAGAGGAGGCTGGAGAATTTCCCATCAGGCGGCTGCTGGCTGTGGACGCAGGGCAAGCGTGAGTCAGGGTACAGCTTGGGTTAGGGGCGACACCCACCGCCCAGGACCTCCCTAGGAATGTCTCTCAGGCCCTAAGCCCCCAGGGGCCCTTGTCTTTAAAGATCCAAGCAGCCCACACCAGGAAAATCTGCTCTCATAGGCACGTGTGACAATGGCGGCAGTGTCCGGGGCCTCTGTGTGCCTCAGGTGCCTTAGGATGACACCATCCCGTTACTACAAAACCAAGAAAGACACCTGTATGTAAAAAAAAAAAAAACCACCACAAAAAACTTCTTCCCTGCTCTGTCGCCACCATCACAACCGACCACACCTCCACCAAATGCACCAGCACCGGCCGCACTGCCCCTGCCTCAGCCTGCCCACAATAACCATAATCACTACGGTCGACGTCACCACCAACCTCATCACCTCTGCCCCCCACAGTCCCCGACCGGCCGCCACCAGCAACAACTGCACCGGCACCATCTGCCAGGTGCTGGGTACGGTGCCAAGGGAGCACTGAGGGTCCATGGGGAACAAGCTACCTCGTGGGCCTTCTTGGGCTGCAGTGGTTACCTCAAGGCCTCACAGAGACAGGTGGTCCTGGGCAAATGTTCTGCCTATGCCTCCCTGAAATGTGCCAGTCTGCAGGGCCCCAGCCAGAGTCCCAAGGTCTCTGACCCAGCCTGGGCAGTGTGGAATGGGCCCTTCTCCAAAGTGAGGTCTTTACCACTCTCCCCTGTCCCCAGTCCAATTCCCAGATAACTGACTGGACAGAAAGGGGTGCTCAGTCCCAGGTGAGCAAGGGGAGAAACTCAGTCAGAGGGAAATGGAAACGGGAGAGAAAGAGAAAGGAAGGAACATCCTCGATGAACTGCTGAGGTCCCCTGGACACTGCTCAGGGTCAGGCTGACGGGGCTGGCATCAAGGAGCAGGCAGCCACTTATCCGGGGCTCAGGCAGCAGCGGCCAGAGGCTTCCTCAGCCTGGTACACACTTGGCATTTCCCCTGGTGGCCGCGGAGTCCGGGAGACAGTGACCTGCTGCTGGCCCCGAGCCAGCTCTGTAACCTGCCCACCCACTCTTCCTGCCCCCAGCCCACACGTCCTCCACTCCTAGCTCCAGGCACTTGTGCCCTTTCCCTGCTGAGTGAGTGGCCAAGGCCAGGCTGAATGAGTCTCCCTGGTTGCCATGACTACCAGCGCTTGCACACGCATGACATATATGCCCACAAGCTCTCCGCATATGGGGTCACTCTGGGTGGTGTAGACGGCACTGCTGGCCCCCACCCTGGCAAGGTGTCTTTGTGCATTGTCATCTCCATCCCTGGGCAGTGAGCCTGGCTTGGGGCCATCTGAGGGCTGTGTGGTATGGGGTGCAGGGTCGGGCCTGGTGGGGTTCCATGGGCTCTGGGTCCTGGGAGGTGGCAGGCAGCCCAAGGTGAGTCAGGGCAGCTGCTTCCCGACCAGAAGGCAAGGGAACGGATGAATTTGTGATGCCTCATCCTGCCTGGCTGGGCTCTGGGAGCTTCCCAGACAAGGGGTGACTCAGCAGAGAGGCGGCCAGGCCAGGGGAGAGGGGCCACCCCCTTGAGACCCTGGCAACCAAGCTATGTTCTGCCAGCTCCCAGCCCAGGCTGGGCACCAGAAAGCAGCTCCTTCCCCTACTGGGAAGACAGGATGGGGCATGTGCCGCCAGAGGGAGTCTTTCCCAGGCATGGCCAGAGAGGAAGGGTCTACGAGGGGCCCATCTGCAGGGAGAAGAGTAGGCCAAAGGTGCCCGGGAGCCAGGGACTTCCCGAACCGCAGGGCTGAGGCTGCCAGGGGCCCCTGCCAGACCACAGGCTTATCCAGCTGGGGGGACGGGGACGGGGGACTCTGGGCTAGGAAGGGAAGTTAGCCTCCCCGCCCCCACTCCGGGGACTCCGGAGGGGCATGACTGTGGGATGAGTGTGGCTGCCCCAGCTGTAAGCTTTCTGCCCAGCCCCAGGTCCCCCAGGCCTTCCCATCCTACCCTCCCTGCCTCCCAGGGAAGCCCCACCCACCCCTTCTCCCCAGGACAGTGGGAAACAACTGAGTCCAAAAGTCAGGTCTGGAGAAAAACTTTCTCCATCTCAGCCTGGGAACCCTCCACCTGGAGCTCTCCCACACAGGGCAGGCAGGGCGATAGAACCCACAGCCAGCATCCCACAGAGCCTGTGGTTCCAGGCAAACAGGCCCCACAGAATTCCCTAAGGGCAGCAGAAAATCTTGGCTAATCAACCCCTCAGATCCCCTCAAGGTGGACCCTGGCCGGAGTCCAGAGTGGGCTCTCAGGCTACCACGTTCCCACCCAGGAGACCCATCCTGGCCCTGGGAGGGGCTCCGCTGCCACTGTTCTGATGCTATTCCAGGAGGGCCCACTGCTTAGGGCAGCGCTGCAGACCCCCAGCCTGGCCACCCCCAAGCCTGGCTCTGCATGCAGCGAACACAGAGGACAGGCTGCTCTCCCTGCTGTGGCTGAGCCCTGTGCCCAGCTGCTCCAGCCTTCCTGGCCCCACATCGCCTATCCCTCAGATGCTTCTTCAGCAGGCTTCTCTGAGCCCACTGAGGCAGAGACCCGAGAAATGAGGGGGTGAGACTGGGCAGCCCTGCACGCCCTCATCCTCTGACCCGCCAGCTTCCCTGGCAGCTGCCCATGGCCCCAGTGTCCCTCCTGTGGCTGGCTAAGCCATTCCCTGGGGCCTGCAGTCCTCCCTTCCCTTCATGCTAAAAACAAGGGTTGGAGCTCTGTGTCCTTGCACACTAAGGTGAGGCCATGCAGTAAAGCAAAGGAGAACAAGCAGAAGGTCCAACTCCCCTGGGATCATTGCCATGAGGCTTCCAGGGGGCCCCTTCTGGGCACAGGTGCGTACACCCTTCTCCAGAGTCACAGAGGATCAAACACTGCACCCCAACTCCAGCAAGGTCACCTCGGGACTGAGAACCCTGACGTCAGTCAATGCTGCCTATGCCTCCTGGAAGTCCAGCCCACAACACAGATGCTGCAGGGCTTACTCTCTGGCCAGCAGGCAGCACTAGGATGGCCTGGGTGGGCACCCCATGCCTTGTGGCCCTCCCTACCAGCGCCCCCACTCTGTCCCCCACCATCTCAGGCCTGGCTGGACAGCTGGTGTAGAACCTGCAGGACCTGCCAGGTGGGCAGCGAGTCCCAGGGCTGGGGGTGGGTTGCCGGCTCCTTGAGATCTTTCCCAGCCCACCTGGTTCCTGAACAGCTTAGGAAACCCCAGGACAGAGCATCTGCACTCCTGTCCCCCCTACCTCTGAAGACTTGGGCAATGGCACAGTGCCCAGCCAGCAGAGCCATGGGGAGACCTGGCTGCCACCTCCCCAGCCCCCTGCTGCCAACCAGTAGTCAACCTCAGACAAAGTCAGCACAGTGGCTGCCTGGGATCCCGGTGTAGCCTGGGCCCCAGCCAGCGCCATAGCCATGGGCCAAGTTCGGCCGGGAACTGGGCTAAAGTTCTTTCCTCTTGGCAAAGGCCTTGCCTACTGGGTACTACAGTTAGCAGCCCAGAAGGGGACAGTGAAGAGCACTGGAGGGCACTTGACCCAGGCCTATGCTGGCCAGGCATCTGGATCCTGCCTGGCATTGACTACACTGGCACCTACCCTGACGGGGGGCACACAACATGACACCCTAGATCCCAGGTCCTGCATTCACCACTAGACTGCTGAAAGAACAGGGTGCAATCGACACTGCCTCGTGTGCCAAGTGAAGTGGATCTGTTGGCTCCAAAGCTGCTTAGCCAGCCCCTGGGCATGGTCAAGGTGGCCCAACCCTGCTGCAAAGCCTGCCCAGGGCCACTGCCTGTTCTCCCTGCCTTGTCACAGAGCCAGGGCACACTGGGGCTCTTCCCTGGAAAGGGATCTGAAAGCTGTGTCACTGGCCACGAACAGAGGCAAGTCCAAGCTGCACATCTACCCCCACTGGCCACCCCACTGCCCGGCTGTAGTCCCAGCTCCAGGGCTACCTCGGCTCTGCAGAGGACACCATGAAGGCCTAGCCCCGGGCCCCAGGCTGGCTGAGAAAACCGCTCCGGAAGCCAGCATGCCGCCGGGAGGGCTGCCTGGCGCCTCAGGCACAGCCCCCTGCTCCCTGGGAGGCAGGTTGTACCCATGCCCCAAGACCAGCTGACTTGCATGGGAGACAGGGCACACCTGGACCTGGGCTGCTCCAGGGCCGCCGGCCACAGGAGGGCTGGGAGGCCAGCTAGGCACCCCGAGGACTTCTGAGCACACCCGGCCTCACCCCAGCCATGTGGAGTGCTGTCCCACGAACTGAGTCCATCCCCCAGAGCAGCCCTCTGACCAGGCCAGACCTGCACAGCTTGGCCTTCCTCTTGCCCACCTGCGACCAGGCCCACCTGCTGTGGGCAAGGTGGCAACAGAAGTGGGGTGGGCGGAGCATGCTCCATCCCAGGGCCCCCAAGGACCTGGCACCTCAGAGGCTGGGCCTGGCCGACAGCCTGATGCTGGCTGCACTCCCCACCGGTTGGGCTCTCCTGCCTGGCCATCCCAGCTCTGCCCCGTGACAGCAGCCTGAGTGGTGCAGAATAGGAGGGGACAGAGCTCCAGGGGAGAAGCATTTGTTTTGAGTTAAGTGAGCCACTGAGACAGCCTCTTTCTTTTCTGGAAACTGTGAAATGGGCTGTAAAAAAAAAAAAAAAAACAAAACCACCATGGCTCACTGATGGCGGCAGCCCCTGAGAAGCAAGTTCCTTCCCAGGCTCTCGGTGCTCCTGCTGCTTCCGGAAGCCCAGCTGACGGGCTGCTGGCATGGACCTCTCTGGCTCTGTGTCTGGCGGCTGCAACCGCCACCCGGGCCAGCTCCCACCTCCTGCTCACACCCACTCAGGCTCCTCTCTCCCCTTAGCACGGGCTTCCTGCTCTGCCTCCCCCAGCCCCTCACAGGGCTGCCCAGATGCTGGGGAGGCCTGGCCCAGGGCAACCAACCCTTGTC